CTGGAGGGTCACTCCCACTCTCCCCCAGAGCCTGGCCACCTCGCTGCTGGTTGGTAAATGGAAACGGGCTGTTTAATTCATGAGACGCGGTGGTAATTACAGAGGGGAGAGAGGCTGCAGTGTGAAGGGCTCTGTGATCGAACACCTGCTTTGTTCTCCTGCAGGCTTTCTCTGAACATGCCCTCCAAAGCTCAGAGAAGTACAGCCCTGTCTTTTCCATAGTGTTCTGCAATAATGCCTTTCGATGCCGGCTTCCATGTTTTTCTGCCTCCTTTGGGTTTGCATTTTCCCCTCTGTGCTTTGCACCTTCCCACAGAAACACCTTGTCACTTGTGGCGTTATCCCAGGGTTCATGGGAGTCACAGACACCACACCACACCCTATTGAGCACAAAAAACAAAAATAAAAACCACTGAAATCAGTCGATTCCAGGTCAAAGCAATTGTACGGGGACGGGCTGGAACTGCTCCGTGCGTGGGGTTTCTAAGGCTAAGTCTTGACCGGAGTAGGCAGTTTCAGCTTTCTCCCATAGAGTGGCTGGTGGGTTTGAACCACGAACCTTGTAGTTAGCAGTCCAGTGTCCCTGGGTGGTGGCAATGGTTTGCAGTTGATTAGTGACCTCAGCGTTGGCGATTGGAGCCCACCCAGCAACGCTGCCGAGGTAAGACCTAGCAACCTGCTTCCGTTTAGATCACAGCCAAGAATACCAAGTGGGGCCATTCTACTATGTTACATGGGGTGGCCATGAGTTGAAATCGACTCGGCAGCTGCGGGTTTGGATTTTTAATGGTTGGGCCTTCCCTCCCCTTCAGTTTTGTCCTCCCCCATCCAGGCAGGACAGGCCTGAGAACGGTGACAGAGATAATGACCACAGAGTGAGGAGCAGGCTCCTGGGGAGGAGGGGGCAGATGCTGGATAATGTAAACATGGCTCCTGGTTTGCAGAATGAGATCGTGTTCGTCAGACGGTAAGGTGTACAATTATACCTGTTCCCTGACATCTGGCTAACAAGACTCTTTTCTGGTTGAATTACGGAGTCAATGAATATTGAATATGCCGTGGGCTGCCAGAGAATGAACAGATCTGTCTTGGCAGGAGTACAGCCAGAAGTGAGGATGGTGAGCCTTCATCTCGCACTTTAGACATGCCATCAGGAGGGGCCGGTCCCTGAAGGACTTCATGCTTGGAAAAGTGGAGGGAGGGCGACAGAGAAGCCCCTCAATGAGCTGGATTGACAGGCCTGCCACGTGGGTTTATGTACCAGTGATTGTGAGGGGTACAGGACCGGCCAGTGTTTTGCTCTGTTGTACGTTTGACTCAGAACTGACTAACGAGGAGCACGCAGGCACCAGGTTTGTGGTGAGAACATCACTGAAGTCCTCAGGACAGGGAGAACAAGGTGTGGTGGGATGGTGGCCTCCCTGTGTCCGTTTCCTGGGCTGAGCTGTGCCCCCTGACACCCACTGGTAACTTCGGGCTTGCTACCACCTCCGGATTGCTGCTTCGGTGAGACACTAATGTGTGAGGCCGAGCTGCCTCAGTTCCCCAAATCCAGAGTCGGCTCTTTGGTGTGTTTAGGGACTGTGTCCTTTTAAAAAGCAAGCTCTTTTGACGCAGAATAAATGAAAAGGAACGAGACTCTGTGTGAGAGAGCCCCTCAGATCCCAGACTGCTCTTGTTCCTCCAGAAATGTGAGATTCCGCAGGGAAGCCCCAGCCAATGCAGTCAGACACACCGCTGATGCAGCCCCTCGCTGTCACCAGCTGTCCCCCAACACTATGTTCTGTGTCACTTCAGGGCTTTGTACTCCAGTCTTCCAATTGCCCACCTACCTGCTTGTGACGTTTAGTTGGATTTTTAAATGCCCCTCTTGTCTCTCTGTCCTATTATTCCTTTCTTCATCTCCAAACAGACACCATTTTCCTTTTCCTTTTTCTTCAAGCACACCTCAGCTTATATATTTTTGATGTTACAAACTCCCTTATATCAGTCGTCTCCAATTAAACCAATTAGTCAATCTAAGAAGAGCTTCCTTCTTTCTTACACCTTCTCTTTCCTTAAAACTAACTCAATGGCTGGCTGGCTGGCTGGCTGGCTGGCTGGCTGGATGGATGGATGGATGGATGGATGGATGGAAAGAAGGAAAACAACATTTTGCTATCAGACGGAAGTCCCGGCATTACCGACAACACTTTGTAGAGTTTTCTCAGCTGCCATCTTTACAGAAGCAGGTCAGCAGGCCCTTCTTTCGTGGAACCACTTGGGTTCGAATCTCCAACCTTTTGGTTACTTTGTGTTGGTCTTGTTGTTAAGTGCCATAGATTGGTTACAACTCATAGCAACCTTGTATAGGCTTTCCAAGTTGCAGTTGGTAGGTTTGAACCATTAACCTTGGGGTTAACAGTCAGTGCTTAAATCCTGCAGTGCCACACCTGGACTCCCAAACCATTTGTGCCATTGGTAAGACTGTAGGCGGCTTCTGATGCCCTCCCCCTTGGTCAGCTCCCATGCTGTCCCTCCGGCCCTCTGGTGGAGGCGTGTCCTACTGACGGACAGCAGAGCCCGTGCCCTGGGTGCTGATGGCACGTCCCCAGCAGTGCGCTCACCCAGAGTGTGCCCTGATTCTTCACAGGTCTCCTGCTGTTCACCTGAGAAGCCACTTTGTACACGTCTTGGTGTCTGTGATCTTCCCCAATAAAAAACTTAAAAAGGGAGCCTTTAAAAAGGAACTGGGAGTGGTGCAGGTCAAGAGCCTTGATGGACAGAGGCACCAAGCGGAACCCGGTCACGTCCTTGTCCTGTAGGACACTGGGAGGTGGGCCAGCTCTCTCGCGCTATTCTCAGCTTCATGGAGAGACCACAGAGATTAGGGGCATAGGGCCACCAGGGTCCAAGCAGGCACAGCCCACGTTAAGAGGGTAGGGGGACAGGGCAGTAGGAACGCCTTTGAGATGACCCGACATGGGGCCCACACTGGTTCATTTTAGAGCATTTCTCAGATTTATAATCCATCACTTTCTTCCCTCTCCTCCTCCTCATCCTCCTCCTCTCTGAATTTCATTCTCTCTCTTCCTCCCTGCCTCTCTTCTTCTCTCTCTGAACTATTCCCTCTCTCTTTCACCTTCTCTCTGGATCTCCCTCTCTCTCTCCAGGTCAGTCTCTCTCTCTCCCTCACTCACGTCCAGGAGCCAGGTCGGCATCGTTCAGCCCACTGGCTAGACTTCCTTTACTCTGTCTGACACAACTGTGCACAACAATAGGACAAGGAGCCTGGAGGCGTCATCAGAACGTGCTTCTAGGCCTCTGAGAATGTTTCCAATTTAGACCAACATCATTAGAAGTCTGGATATTATATTCCGTTCGAGTTCCAGATCCTACCTTTTCTGTTGGAATGTAAGCCGGAGAGTTCAGTTTGATGTTGTACTTTGCAGAGCTGGAGCTGGGGCTGGGGCTCAGCCTGAGTGGGTGGTTAGGTGGGATGATACATAGAGAGATGATAAAGAGATAATGATAAAGGATGGATGGATGGCAATAGGAAAGGGCTTCAAAAAGTTCATGGAAAATGGAATTAAAAGATGAGAAACTGCACAAACTCTTTGGAACCTCCTCATAGATGGATCAGTTGAGGATAGAGAAATGATGGATGAGTGGGTAGATGGATGGGTGTGTGGGTGGATGGATGGATGGATGGATGGATGAATGTAATGATAGATGGATGAAACGGTGCATGGCTGGATGGAAGGAAGCAGGGATGAAGAATGGATGGAGGGTAAGACTAGATAGAGGGATGAGGTAAGAGTCTGCTTCCGTAAAGCTCAGTCTTGGAAACCCTATGGGGCAGTTCTACCCTGTGCTACAGTCTCTCTCAGAGTTGAGTGGAACTTGAGGGCAGTGAGTTTGGCTTGTTTGTTTTACGGAGAAGGAGATGGAAAGTGATAGTGGATTTTAAAAGGGAAGGTTGGGTCGGGCACAGGGATGCTTTTTAAAGCGGTAATGAATTCAGCTTGAAGATCCGAGCCAAATGGAGGCTCACACCCTTCCCACTTCAGGCACTAGGTGGGTGAGCCCTAACCTAGGCAGAGAGTGTCCCCCCAGTGCACCCCACTCCCCTCCTCCACCTCCGGGCTGCTAACAGCCAGAACAGGCCTCTTCAGTGTTGCTCAGTTGTGTGGGGCTCAACTGAAAAAGCAAAACGTATTCATTCATTCACTTGACGACCAGCTGTGTAGAACCACAGTATCTTAGAAGCAAAAGCTCAAACTTCACCAGCCCTGGTTTCTTGCCAAACATACCTCTCCCCAGTCATGACAGACGTGGAGAATCGCTGCCTTTCTCTGCAGTCTCTTGGGCTGTGATGACCCATTCACAGTACCGTTTCCTCTCTGACTTTCCACGTGGAACCACGCCTCGAGCTGCTCAGAGCGTTGGTCATAGCATGTTGGTTTACACCCAGACACATGTGCTCTTGATCATGGTTCTGTGGTTGTAATGTGATAAGAGCTTCTGGGGAAATTAACTTCTTAGAAGCTACCGAGGAGAATTGTGTATTTTCTTGGAGCGATGTCCTACAGATTCCTAAGAAAGAGATCGGTTGCCCGGAGTTGATTCTGACCCCTAGTACTCTGTGTGTCAGAAGAGAACTGTGCTCCAGAGATTTCAATGGCTGCTTTCTGAGAAGCACACTGCTAGGCCTTTCTTATGAGGTGCTTTTGAGTGGACTAGAACCTCCAGCCTTCCAGTTAATACCTGAGAACACTAACCCTCTGCACCACCCAGGGACTCCAGGCTGCTTCACTGGGCTTTGTTCTGAAGCCACAAACCCACCCCTTATTTCCTGACTCCCCCAGCCAGGCCCTCTGCTAGAAGGGAAAATCTCACTAAAGAATGGTTGGGATCCTAGCAACCTGGCCCTTTCCTGGAGAACACACAATAAGATCTGCTGCCGTGTCCAGGCAGAAAGCATTTCGACCCGCTCAAGCGCACTCCCACTCTCTTCTCAGGGCCCCCGAGATCATCCTTGGTTTACCATTTTGCGAGGCAATCGACATGTGGTCACTGGGCTGTGTCATCGCAGAGCTATTCCTGGGCTGGCCGCTGTATCCAGGTGCTTCCGAGTATGACCAGGTGGGTGCCTTGGGCCCGGGACCCTCAGCGAGACCGAGTCTGTCGTCTGGAATCTCTCTCTGCTTTACCTTGCTCTTCTCCACTATTCCTCTCTGTGTCCCTGTTTCTTTTGATTCCTTCTCTCCCTGTAAAATCACCATCCCCTTTTTCTCGCTGCCTCCAGTGGCTGTTTATGGCGGGACAGGAGACCCCTGACCTCCTTCTCCACTCTCCCTGCAGATCCGCTACATTTCACAGACGCAGGGCTTGCCGGCTGAGTATTTATTAAGTGCAGGGACAAAGACAACTCGGTTTTTCAACCGTGACACTGACTCGCCATACCCTCTATGGAGGCTAAAGGTAGGGGACGTCACTTCCCTATGGGGTGGGGTTGGTGATTCATGGGGAGCTTTTGATACTAAAAGAACCCCGCCACCGGCTGCTCTGTGGGAGAAAGATGGGACAGTCGGCTTTTCTAAAGAAACCTATGGTGCCACCTGCTCTGCCTGTAAGGTCCCTGTGAGTCGGAACTGATTCAGTGGTGGCAGGTTTGACACCACAGGTCTGACCCTCCGCCCTGCTATGATTTGTCCAGCAAAGGCAGGGTACTCAGGCAGGGGAGAAATGGACTGCAAGGTCAGCTGCTCACGAGAAGCTGGAGTTCGATGCTCTGATGACCAAGGTCATGGGCCCCATTTCCAGTGAGCGCTGGCAGCCCATCCATGTACTGGGGGAGAAACAGGGATGCCCCGTTTGGAGGCAGACGCCTGCCACCAGCTCCTCCCACCACCTAGTTCAATGAAGGAAAAGAGGAGCTTGCCAGCATTGCCCATGGCAGCGGGCCAGAGGAACACGGAGGCTGAGGGTGAGGGAAGACGGTTTGCAAGTAGAGAAGTGAGGGGAGGGCTTTCAGTCAAAACACCTGTAGAAGCCGGTCTGTGACCTTAGAAGTGTGTTGCACCCCAACCCTGATCTTCCTTTATAGCTCATTGGCTGATCACATCAGAGTGCACCTTGGGGAATGATTACATCGTCACATAACTGCCTAGTTATGTCATTATGTAATTGTCATATGACATCATTACATCCTGCTGAATGAATTACATCACTACATAACTGCCACTTTACATCATCACTTAACTGCCAAAACCTTGAAAATCGTGGCCCAGCCAAATTGGCACAATTCAATTTATTTTTATTGGGGACACACAATTCAATCTATGATATAAATAAGAAGGATTTGAATTTAGTGAGTTTCATTAAAATGAAAAAGGTAGAAACGGGCTTCTGCTTCCCCATGTACAGAGTTTTACCTGATCCCTTAACTTAGTGGAGATTGTAGGGTCATGGTGGATGTAGTGTATCTACTCACCTTCGAATCCTCAGTCGCAAACTCAGGTTAGGTACTTGGCAGGAGTTTGCGAGGAAGAAAGGGATGAGTGAACGTAGAGGAGTCGAGAAGTAAGAAGCAGTGAAAAGATACAATGAGTTCGTCTCTGAACTGTGGGAAGACCGTCTGCTGGAAACTCAGGGTTCAAGTCTCAGTGACGGCAGACCTCCCGTTACCCATCAGCCTTGCCTTTTTTCACCAGACACCAGATGATCATGAAGCCGAGACCGGGATCAAGTCAAAAGAAGCAAGAAAGTACATCTTCAATTGTCTGGATGACATGGCCCAGGTAAGCTCCACAGGTAGACACAAGGAATGCCAAGCACAGCAGACCACAATGGCAGGCAGAAGTCCTCACCACCCAGCCATGGTGGTTGACCTTGTAGCCATGTGGTTTGTGAAACATTTTTAAGACCTTACACCAGCTCCTTGAAAATCATTTTGGTTAGGAGCATTCCATTTCCATTAATGCTGGTGGAATAGCTCAGAAAGGGATGGTGAAGATGATGTCACAATATGACATACGTAACCAATGTCACTGGATTTACATGTAGAAATTGTTGAATTGGCAAGTCTTTGGGTATATGTATTTTCACCACAACTTTATAAACATAGCTTTGGTGTGGTGTTTCCCACTTGTATTACAGTACTGGCCAGTCTAACTGATGTTAATCATGAGAAGTATCATAGATGTCTAGTGCTGCTATAACAAAATACCAAAAGGGGGGTGGCTTCAACAAGTAGAAATTTATTTTCTCACAGTTTACTGGCTAGAAGCCCAAATTCAGGGCACCAATTCTTAGGGAAGCGTTCCTCTCTCTGTGGGCTCTGGGGGAAGGTCTTTGTCTTTCAACATCTGTGGGCCCAGTTTTCATGAGCGATCTCCATGCATCTTGTTATCTATCAGTCTTCCTTTGGGTCCAGGAGGTTCCCAGTATAGAGACCTTGGATCCAAGGACACGCTCCACTCTTGCCCCTTCTTCCTTGGTGGTAGTGAACCCCTCTCTCTCTGCTTACTTCTCTCTCCTTTTCTCTCGTGTAAGATAAAAGGTGATATAGTGTAGTGGTTACGAATCGGGCTGCAAACCGCAAAGTCAGCAGTTCGAAACTACCAGCCGCTCCGCGGGAGAAAGATGAGGCATTCTGCTCCCATAAAGATTTATGGCCTCGGAAACCCTGTACAGGGTCGCTATGGGTCAGAACCGACTTGACGGCACTTAACAACAACAGCAAACTACACCCTAGGCTTGCACCATATCAGGGCTCTGACCGTCCTAATCCCCTTACACCTGATTGGCTGGTCACATCAAATCACAGCATGAGGGGTCATTACATAATGCCAAAGCATTGAGAATCGTAGCCTAGCCCATTTGACACACATTTGGGGCAAGAGTCACAGTTCATTCCATGACAAGGAGGATTCCAGCCCGTCAGTCAAATTGACGTAGGTGAGTTTCATTACTTTGAATTTAATACCTCTCTCACGTTGCTGCCAGGAACCACAGAGGAAGTTCTGGAACTCTAGCTTATCTTAGTGTGATACGTAGTCTGAAATCAGGGTGACCCAACGTGAGTATTTCTTAAAAGCAGTGAAAAATAAAGCCACAAACCAAGAAACACATAGCGCCTCTCTGAACTGTGAGTGAATGTTGCTAAAACCAAACTCTGAAGCAAAGTGTTCCTGCCACTTGGCAAGAAGCTTAGGTGGCCTCTGAAAGCAGAAATTGGTTTTCAAAGCATGTCGTGGAAAAGAGAGCTCGCACCACGCAAACAGCCTTTGGGAGGCTCTCCCAGAACAGACCCGTTCCTGGGAGAAACAGCCTGAACTGAAATAATTCAGGAACTCTGGGAGGCAGTAGCGTGTAGAGGCAGGAATGCTCCCCGGGACCCTCACATGTTCCTTCAGAAGTGAAATAAATATGTAAACCCCGCTGCTGCTTCTCTACCTCTGCTTGGCTATGGGTACTTTTCATACAGTTATGATGGGAGCTGGGTTCCAACTTAACTCTGGGGAGTCTCAGACCCAGCTCCCCCATGTCCTGCCAAGAGAAAAGCCACCTCTGTGGGCAGTAGTCTGATGTGGGTGGTGCCTAGAGCCCCAGGCATCCCCTCTCCTGGTAACCTGTCCCTGCTTGTCCCCAGGTGAACATGACGACAGACTTGGAAGGCAGCGACATGTTGGTGGAGAAGGCTGACCGGCGGGAGTTCATTGAACTGCTGAAGAAGATGCTGACCATAGACGCTGACAAGCGGGTCACGCCCATCGAGACCCTGAACCACCCCTTTGTCACCATGACACACCTGCTCGATTTCCCCCATAGCACACAGTAGGTGTCCAAGTGGGCTTCATGCCAAGGGGCAGCCACAGACACTACATAAACCAAAGAATGAGGCTACGGTCCAATAAAACTTTATTGATAAAAGCAAATAGAGGGCTTGCTTGGTGTGGACACTGGGCTTATACAGAAAAGGTGGGCAGAGGGGTGCACAGGCTGGATGGACTAGATTCTGGGTACCTGTGCATGAAGGAAGAACCCCAAACACCAGTAACACAAAGCATAACTTCATTCCATGCCAACTGTTCCCATAATCTCTCTGGGCCTGGGGCAGACTCAGTGTGGATATGTTCTCAGCACACTCCATACTCCAGGTGTGGGGCACCAGGGTGAGCCAGGAGGTAAGGCCCTGCCTGTGGGAGCATACAACCTAAGGGGACGTGGCTCTGTGGTGGAATATTCCCTACTTTTACTTTGGAGGACCAGCTGGTGGGATTGAACTACTGACCTTGTAGTTATCGGTGCCACTTATAATAGTAGAAAATTATTCCTGGTGTGGCATTGTGGGTTAATGAGCCAGACTGCAAAGTTGTTTGAACTGCAAGGTCAGTGGTTCAAGTTCATCAACTACTCCTCGGAAACCCTATATAGGGTCATTATATAGGACTTCCTATATAGCGTCGGAACTGACTCGACAGCACTTAACAACAACAGTTCTTATATCAATATTCAGTTGCACCTTTTTTTTTTTGCCAATCATGCCCTCCCCACCCAGGTATTTTTAGAAGAACGTTATACTAAATTTTTTCTTTCTTTCTTTCTCTAGCAACGTGTTAAAAAATTTGTATCATGTGCTTAGGAAGATAGAGGCGCCGTGGTAGGCCTATAGCTCCCATTAGCATGATTTGTATAAAATGTGGCATTACATTGCTTGTTACTAAAACAGAAATTTGAAATTGAAAATCAAATGGGGTTTTATTATTTCAACATGTGCATTTGAGGAAACATAAATTGAATTACTAGTAGACAGAACTGTAGGAGAAACTGTCTAGATTCTGAAGGATGTTTATGATGGTGTTCAAGTGAGGGATTTGTTTTGTCTTGATTCGTTAATGTATTTGTGGTTGTGAAGTGCCATGAAGTCAGTTCCAAGTCATCGCGACCCTGTATAGGGTTTCCAAGGAACATCTTTTGCGTTTGAACTGCCAGCCTTGCGATTAGCAGTCCAGTGCTTATCCAACAGCACAACATCAGGCATCCAAAAATGCAACAGAGGATGACAAAAAGGAGAGACTTTGGCTTTTAGCAAACTGGGCAAGAATTTTAAAAAAGAAGGAAGAGATCAGAGAGGATGTATGTGCCAATGTGAAGATTGCTGTAGTGTTAGCCCTTGGCCTTGGTAAATCATGCCCTCTCAGCTTCCTCCTTAAAGGAGCCCTGGGGCACTCAGCTGCTAAATAAGGTCCATGGTTCAAATCCACCCAGCGCCTCCTCGGGTGACAGGGATAGCAATGTGCTTCTGTAAAGTTTTATTGTTGTTTTTAAGTGTCTTTGAGTTAGTTCCAACTCATAGCGACCCTATATAGGGTTTCCAAGAGTCGGCTTGTGGGTTTGAACTGCTGACCTTTGTGGTTAGCAGTCCAGTGCTAATCCTACAGCGCCACACCAGGACTCCAAGTTCCAACTCGGAATGACCTTGTATAGGGTTTCTGAGGAGCAGCCAATGAGTTTGAACCGAACCTTGTGCTTATCCTATGACACCACACCAGGTCTCAATGCATATTGTTGTTGTTGTTAAGTACCATTGATTCAGTTCCAACTCATAGCGACCTTGTGTAGAGTTTCCGGGGAGCAGCTGGTGAGTTTGAACTGTCGACCTTAAGATTCAAACAACTTTGCGATCCAGTGCTTTAGTCCACAGCGCCACACCAGTACTCCCAATGGATATTGTTGTTGTTGTTGTTGTTAAGTACCGTTGAATTGATTCTGACCCATAGCGACCCTGTATAGGGTTTCCAAGGAGAAGCTGGTGAGCTTGAACCACTAACCTTGCAGTTCAAATGACTTTGCAGTCTGACGCATTAGCCCACAGCACCACACCAGGACCCCTTAGCCATTGTTACTTGTACTAATGATTTCATTTTCATTGTTGCCTTATGTCTTAGGAGACCACCTGTGTTACCGCACAGAACTGCACCATGTGTTTTATTGGGTGTAATCTTAAGGGAGGCCTGGTGTGGCGCTGTAGGACTGCTAAGCTTAAAGTCAGTAGTTCAAACTCACCAGCCACTCCTTGGAAGCCTTGTATGTATAAGGTCGCTATGAGTCGGAACTGACCTGATGGCACCAACAACAATCTTTAGGGAAGCCGATTGCCAGGTCTATTTCTCCCATCCTGTGCATGGTTCAAAGCACCAGGCATTTGTTTACCAGCCAAGTGCATGCCACCTGTGCCCCCAGGGGCCTTCGTTATGATTAATGATGAAGGTCATTATTGTTCACATGCCGCGCACAGTTCCAGTGGACCTGGATGCTGGATAGAATAGTTAGTTCCCTGGTTCTCCCCTAGATGGAGTTGGGGAGGGTGAGAGAGGTTGAAGATGGCTGGCCTATGTAAGAGTTCAAGGTTCCCAGTCACAGAGCTGGACCAGAAACCACATAGAGGGTGAATGGACAGTGAGCAGTGGGCTTGCTAGTGGGCCCATCTGGTGACAGGGGAAAAGGCAGTGAGAACAGTGTGTATGTTGGATGTGGGACCTTTACCTTGCAGCGGGGTAGGGAGACAATAAGGAAAACTCATCCCAATAGTGTTGACCCCCGCAAACACACAGACTACACAGAAACCCAGGAAGTAAGACATGAAGCCCCTCTCCCCAGTTGTCTTGTTCTAAGAGTTCTTTTCACTGTCTGTTTTCTCCTCTTTATCCCACCTCACCCTCTTCTATTCCCTCACGCCTGTGTCTGCCTTTTGCACAAACAGCGTCAAATCCTGCTTCCAGAACATGGAGATTTGCAAGCGACGGGTGAACATGTACGACACGGTGAACCAGAGCAAGACCCCTTTCATCACACACGTGGCCCCCAGCACATCCACCAACCTGACCATGACCTTTAACAACCAGCTGAACACTGTCCACAACCAGGTGAGTGGACAGCAGAAGGGGCCAGGAGGGGCCAACAGCTGCTGGGTGTGAGGACAGGGGCTCTGTTCGCCAGCAGACCCAATCAAGAAGCAGAGTTGCTCCAATGCCGTATTCAACCAGTGAGAAAGTCTTGGCTTCCAAAGGGATTTCCTCTCAGGAACACAGGGCCTTGCCTGTTGGCCCCATTAAGCATTCCAGAAAGGATTCTAAGGCAGTGGTTGTGAGTTGGTGCCCCCTTACTGCTTTCTTCTGGCCCAGATTGGGGATAAGGTCAAGGAGATGCTATGACCCTTTTGTGCCTGACACCTGTCCAGTGATGAATTCTAGAACTAGAAGGGACTTGAGGTCAGCCCCCCTGGTAAGGCCCTTCCCCACGTCCACACACTTCTAGAACCGCAAGAAAGACCTTTTAGGATAGATAAAGTCTGTCTCTTCTCCAAGTCACAGGAAACCCAGTTAATTCATCAAGTCCATCACTGAAAGCCAGGAGCTGTAACTGAATGGAGCCAGAGAACAAGAAGAGTCTTTGTCCCAAGAATTCCAACCTTTTCAGAAAATGAGCTGAATGTAGCACCTGACATCCTGCTTGGAACAGTGTGGAACCAGAAAGTAGATCATGGCCAAGCCTAGTCCAGGCCACCTCCAGGGTCCAAAAGATTCAAACTTGCACCCCATCTTTCACTCTTGGTGATTCCCAAGCCAGGTCCTAGAGTTTTCTCTCAGTATCAGTCTGTAACAACTACACGTTCTGTGAGGAGACAGGATACTTCTAGAAATCCATAAAACACATACCTATACACACAAACTCACATGCACACACATACAAATATCACATGCCCACACATACATACATACAGATATCACATATACACACATACACACATCCCTATTCACATATAAACATACGTTGGTGTTGTTAAGTGCCATGGAGTCGGTTCCAACTCATAGCAACCCTGTATAGGGTTTCCGAGTAGCGGCTGGTGAGCTTGAACCGTCGACCTTGCAGTTCAAAGTGATCTTGCAGTCCAGTGCATTAGCCCACAGCGCCACCCCATGATTTCATCCACACATTTCACGTACAGACACGCACGTACGCACGCCACTCCATTAGGCTGCATGTGCTCTAAACCTGAAGGACAACTCTGTGCCTGGTGACCATGCTTTAGTGACAATCTCGCTACCATGAAGAGTCTCTGGCCCCCCCACTTTCTAGTCCTTTCACCGCCAGTTGTGGTGCCCAGGCCAAGCTCACCTCTTGGCAGACTCCCTTGGTCTAACTTCCTGGAAAAGCCACTGGAGTCTGCTGCCCCCTGGGGGTGGTTTACGTTCTCTGCACTCTTCTTAGTCTGGAGCACTAGTGCTGAGTCCCGAGAAACAGACATTCCCATCTGGCCCCCAGCCCAGTCCTGAGCCACCCACAGCCAGCCACATGAGTTTAAGTGTGCTTCTGCCCCTTGTCACCTCCTTAAAGAGTGAGCTTTTCCCATCAAGCCTCATGAGACCCCTGTTCTCAAATCCCATGGCCCCTAACTACCACCACCACCTACCCACCCACCCGAACATCAAACGCATTTAGGAGACGATGGAGGTGCAGAGTTCTCAGATGTAGACGTTGGGTCCAGATGTGTCTCCCCACCTGGCTGACCTTGCCATGGATATACCCTGTAAGACTACAACGCTAGGTCCTGAGTCCCTGACCACAGGGAGGCCTGTCGTTGATGTGACAGCCAGGACATCCACTCCCACGAGTTTTCCACAGACTCAGAACTGAGGGGTTCCCCCCACAAGGGCTGCCTGCCATCACTGAATGAGAATACTCGCCTCTCCACGGCGTTGATGCCATCTGTGCTTGTCAGGTTCCCTGAGACCCAAACCAAGAGGAGTTAGATCTCGAGATGGACAGTTAATGGATGGTTGGATGGTGCATGGTAGATGGAAGGATGGATGGACAAATAGATACTCAGCCAACTCACTGCCATCAAGATGATATTCCAACTCAGAGTTATCCTATAGGACAGAGTAGACTTGCTCGTAGGGTTTCTGAGACTGTAACTCTTGACATGAACGGACAACCTCATTTTTCTCCTGAGGAGTGGCTGGTGGATTTAAACCGCTGACCTTGCAATTAGCAGCCCAGTGTTAACCCACTGTGCCACCAGTGCTCAGTAAGTTGGTTGTTGTTGTGTTGTGCCATTGAGTCGATTCAGGCCCATAGTGACCCTGTATAGGGTTTCTAAGGAGCAGCTGATGAACTTGAACCATCAACCTTGCAGTTCAAACTGACTTTGCAATCCAGTGTGTTAACCCACAGCACCACACCAGGACTCCGATAAGTTGGGAGGTAGATAGATGAGGTGATGAATGCCATGGATAAATAGGTAAATACAGAGATAGAGAGAGAGCTGGTGGGAGAGATTTATTTTAAGGAATTGGCTCACAAAACTGTGGAAACTGGCAAGTCCAAAATTCATAGGGCAGGCAGCAGGCTGAAGACTCAGGCAGGCCTTCTGTACCACAGTCTTGAAACAGAATTTCTGTTCCAGTTTTTGCTCTCAGCTGATTGGATGAGGGTCGTCTGTTTTACTTTACATCAACTGGTTATAGATGCTTCTCACAGGTGCCTGCAAGCACCTTCGCAGCTACATGTAGACCAGGGTTTGCCAAGCAGCTCTGGCTAGTGTGGCTGCAGACACCTGCTTCTTTCCTGGAACCTGTTTTCAGGCATAGCTGCCCTTCCCCTTTTACTTCCCTGCCCACGGTTTCTGTTGATTGGTGTAGTCATCGGCTCTTCTTTGTGTTTGCTTATTTGATTTAAACTCTCAACACACCACCCCTCCCTGACGTTTTGTGTTTATTTTGTTGAATTCCCGTCACCCCTTCAGGCTCCCACCTCCGCCAGTTCCACTCTTCCCTTAGTCAATCCCGAAGTCTCCATACTAAACTACCGCTCTGCACTCCGCCAGCCCTCCGCCGCCCCCATGGCTGCCGTGGCCCAGCGCAGCATGCCCTTACAGACGGGAACTGCCCAGATTTGTGCCCGGCCCGACCCCTTCCAGCAAGCTCTCATCGTGTGTCCCCCCGGCTTCCAAGGTAAGGACAAGCAGATTCATCATCTTGTCTACCTACCTACCTGCAGGGCCTTGGCACCACCACAGTGGGCCACCATGACCTCCCTGTGGGAAGCCCTGGTCCTCTCCTTCAGTGAGAACGTAGGGATACATACCTGAGGACTCCTGCCTTACTGTGGCCTGACCACGAGACGTGTCCTCCAGGTGGACTCTTGTTATTCTCTCTACTGACCAGGGATTCTGTTCCCCAAAACACCCTCAGTCACTGGACCTGTCTTAGTTCCCTACAGCTGCTATAACAGAAACACCACCAAGGGGGGGTGGCTGTAACAAACGGGAATATATTTTCTCAGAGTTTCGGGAGCTAGAAGTCCAAACTCAGGACGCTGTCTCTGTGGGCTTGTCTCTTTGAGCATCTACCCCTGAGTGACCCTCCTGTGGCCTAGCTTCTATCTTTCTCCATCTCTTCTATGAGCTTGAGTCCAATCTCTTTGATATCTCAAAAGAGATTGACCTAAGACACACCTACCTCATCCTGCTCATTAGCATAACGGAACAGCCCAGTTCTCAATGGGACGATAACTGCAGTGTAGAGGTGAGGGTTGACCACACATATTTTGAGGGGACATAGTTCAGTCCATAACAGAGCCGTTGTTTTTCTCCCATTTCATGCTGATGTCAGCTCCACAGCTCCTGAGAGTCATCTCAGGTGCCCTCAGTGTGGATTATTTATGAAAAAGGTCATTAGTGACCACCAACATAACTATACTCCCTAAGAGAGCATAAACCCATCTCAGAAGTACCTTCCCGGACCTACACCCTGCAGTGACTCTTTTCCTGTCGACTCCATATGCCAGAGTTGGCGTGTGCTCTGTTACAATTTTCCCAGAAGTCTCTAGAATGTTGTGAGGGCTCGACAAGTCCAGAACTTGTAAATCAGGTGACAGACAGAGTGAAATGAATGTCAGCTGGAGGCCGAGGGCTCCCTAGAGAGAGCGTTTTGCTCTGAAGCCCTTCAATTGGCTGGTGGAAGGTCATCTGCTGTACCCAAGCCATCTAATCTCATCATACAACTCCCTCCTTAACAGCAGCCAGACTGGTGTTTAACCAAACACCTGGGCGCCATAGCCCAGCCAAGTTGACACAAAAATTAGTCATCGCAAGTATATGTCGATAGACCCTATGGTGTACACATGTGTGTTAATTGCTCAGTTTCAAAGTCAAGGCGAATCCACAGATTCATCCATCCTCTCTGCACCTTGCTCATGACTGACTTTGGCTCTTGTTCTCCTTCTGTGATGCCTCATCTCAACTGCCCCATTGTTGCCCTGGCAGATGCCTTTAAAAACATTCACTTCAAGGTATATCGGTGGTGGTGTGCCATGAGGTCGGTTCCGACTCAGCTACCCTGTATAGGGTTTCCGAGGCTGTAGATCTTTACATGGACAGAAAGCCTCATCTTACTCCCATGGAACCCTGGTAGTTTTAAACCACTGATGGTGAGATTAGGAGCCTGACTCATAAACACTATGCTACCAGAGCTCCTTAAGGCATAGTAGTATTCTTTTAAGTTAAGTTAGAAACTAAGAGGAAACTTTACAAAGGACCTGAAAGTACCTCATCATCAAGTAGAATGACTAACACTAAGGGTTGTGGAGAGGTGACACAGACTCTTAGAAAGTTCTCTTGGTCCACCTGTGTCTGGTCACTTACCTGCGCCTTCTCACCTTACCCGTTGCCTATAGGGTTGCAAGCCTCTCCCTCAAAGCATGCTGGTTATTCGGTACGGATGGAGAACGCAGTGCCCATCGTCACACAAGCCCCAGGAGCTCAGCCTCTCCAGATCCAGCCAGGTCTGCTTGCGCAGGTAATTCACCACCAGTACCCCCGTGCTAACGACGTTCACTGAAGAGACAGGGCTCTGCCTGCTCCCTCCCTGATAATGAATGAGTGCTTTGAGTCATTGGAATACATCAGTAATATTCTAAACGGTCCCCAGGTGAATTACCCTGCAAAGCTCCCAGCTTACTATTCCAAGAAGAAATTTAGACACAAGGAGAGTCTGGGGAGATTATAACTCGTGTGGTATCTTTATAATGGAAATTCATCTGGAAGACTTTGGTTAGAATCCTGAGGCTAGTCAGGTAGCATTTTTCTATCCTTCAAGTTCTTTTTTGTGTGAAACAGAAGTGGTTTTTTGGGTGGTTTTTTTTTTTTTAAAAAGAACTAAAAGGAACCTTAACAATTACTACCTCATTTTATAAGGGAGGAAACTGCTCAGAGAGGCCCCAGCCAGACCCTTCCTTACTCTCCAATGCTCGTAGGTGCCGTGGTAGGCGCATGACATCACAGAGCTGAAAGTGGGTTGAAAACTGGTCACATGTTCTGTAAATATGCGGTAACAGCTGTGCTGCAGTGTCGAGACCTATGAACACACCTCCAGTATGTTGACTGCTGAATCCCCACAGCAACCCAGTAAGATGTTTGTGTGCCCTTAAATGGAGAAACGGAAGTGCAAAGTCACACAACTGTTAACAGAACCAGAATACAAACTCACAAACTCTGGCTCTAGGCCCTGCATTTTGACCACCACGCTATCCTACTTTTATGTAGTCTTTACTATTGTGGGGGCCAAGGACAGCTTGGCCTAAATGTATTCATTTAGAAGCAACTTTATTTTTCAGTCGATTCTCAAAACATTTGCCAAGATGTCCCTGTCTTAGATTGATTCGCTAGAGAAGTAAGCTGGATGAATCAGCTATAAGAGGAGGCGCTTCCTCACGGGATGTGGCCTGCATCCAATATATATGGACTTCTGACAAAGCTTTTTGGTGTTTGCTTGTTCTGGCTCCTGAATCTGACCTCTGGTTCTTGGACCGTGAGCCAGCAGCCTGCCATCTGACCTACTGATCTTGAGTTCATAGAGTTCATAAACTGTGTTGGGTAGTATCTCATCGTCCTCTGTTCTTTGAGACAGCTTACTTGTGGTAGATACCGTTCTTTGTTTCTGTGTTCTTTGATCACTTGCGCCCTCTGTTGGTGATGGACACAACATGTCTTCCTGAGAGTTTGGAAGCTGACTTTCTACTCCTTCCTCTCTCGTGGGTCCCCTCGTAGTGTCCTTTTGTTTGTAGTTAATAAAGTCTGGGAGTGGGAAGATCAGAAAAGATCAAAAAACACCCAAGAAAAAAAAAAGCAGCTCACTCCAAGGCAGATGTAATATTATTAGTCCATGCTTTTTCTGAGGGATAAAGTCTGAGCCAAAATCTATAGAATGCACATGTACTTGAGAGGGTACAATTCTAGCTCCTGTGTGTGTGTGTTTGCACATTTAACAATAGAAGGCCAAGAACTACCTCTGGAAGAAACAGTAATGGGCATCTCTTATTAGATAATGAAGCCTTAGTAGCGCAGTGCTTAAGCACTTGGCTGCGAACCCAGAAGTCGGTGATTTGAACTCACCTACTGCTCTGTGGGAGAAAGATGAGGTTTTCTGCTCCCGTAAAGATTTACAGCCTCAGAAACCCTGTACGGGGTCACTATGCGTCATAATTGACTCGATGGCACATAACAACTGCTCTGTGGGAAGAAGATGTGGTAAAGTTTGATTTGGTAAAGAGCCGCTGCCTTGGAAACGCGACTGGGCAGTTCCCTTCTGTTCTGCTGGGCTGCTGGGAATTAACGTCAACTCTATGGCAATGGGTTCAGTTTGTTTTGTTTCATTTCATTTTTAATAGTTTAAGTGGAGCCCTGGGTGGCACAGGTAGGCCCTCAGCTGCTCCTTGAAGGGTTAGCACCTCAAGTGCACCCAGAGGTGCTTCAGAAGAATGGCTTGTTGACTGATTTCCAAAGACTCAGCCTTTGGAGCCCAGTGTGGACCCCCCGTAGTAGCTCCATCTGACACACACGGGGTCACAGTGAGTCAGAATCGGCAACTGGTCTGTCCACTGCAGCAGAACGTTCTTTGATGTTCAATTTGGTGGGACCAGTAGGCTCAGCATTCTGAACTTATTTCTTTCGGTCTTCTGCTTGCTTGAAAAAGAGTCTTTGTGGTGTTATAAATCTCCAAGTGGATTTAAGCTAAAGCTGTAATTGAGAACGTGAACCACAAAACACCTGTACGAGGATTTTAATGGCTGCCGTTTTTATAATGGGGAACTACTGGCAGCCATTTGAACGTTCATCAGTAGGGGCTTGTTAAATACAATGACATATGCATGAAGTGGAACACCAGCTTGTCATCAAAAAGGACAAGGTTGGCCCGAAAGACCTGGCATGCAGAGACACCCAAGAGGTACCAAGTCAACAGAGGCGTCCTGCCTACGCAGGGGTGCGCTGTGTCTCTTAGTTTCCTGCTTGTGTTTTGTTTTTCTCTCTGCTTATCACTGCATCCGTGCCAATGTACCAGCTGGTTAAGTTGGTTTTAAGCTCTACCCTAAATATCTTGCATGGTCCTTCCAATGGACAAAAATACGTTAACTTATAAAATTAGTATGTTGTTGTTAGGTGCCATCGAGTCTGTACCAACTCATAGTGACCTTATGCATACCAGAATGAAACACTACCCGATTCTGGGCCAACCTCACTACTGATGCCACGCTTAGCAGAGGGAAAACTAATATAGTAGCTATTTTTTAATACACAGTCATCAAACTGTTTAGCAGCTGCCTTCACTGGAAGGCAGAGCTTTCTAGGTATCAGGCAGGGACATTCTTAATACTGTTTACTTGAAGTATAGCTATCATCATTCTTTTTATCTGATTTGTTTGTTTTGTTTTTTAATCTTTGAAAGTATTTGAAGTATGAATAGAGACATGGGGTCCTTTGACTCCATCCCTAGTGTTAATTTTCTTTGCTTTCCCACCTCCCCTCCCAGCCAACACCACATAATGGGAAACCATCGGGACAGCCTGTGTCTGGAGAGGGAACTGGAACCCCGTGTCTTGTTTCTGTGATGCAGGGTGGCTTCCAGACATGACTTGGAAAGTTGTTTTGATATCTCCTAACAGGGGCTGGGAGCTTTGGTGGCATAGTGGGTCTCAAGCATTGGGCTGCTAACTGCCCATTCAACCCCATCAGCCACTTCTCAGAAGAAAGAGGTGGCAGGTTGCTTCCATAAATGTCAGCCTTGGAAACCCCATGGGGCAGCTCTCCTTTGTCCTACAGGGGGCACTCTGAGTCAGAATCAATTGAAGACAGTAGGTTTGGGATTTTTGTTTGAAACGGAGCTGATGCCTACATCCTCCCGAGCTCCAAGCCAGAGCTGGCCACTTAACCACCAACTGAAATCATCCATGGCCGATGCTGGAACAATGATCACAAACTGGGTGGTTTAACACAACAGGAACTGAGCCTCCTTGTCCTTGAGACTGGGGTTCTGAACCCCAGGGGTTTCCACTGGAGGGACTCAGCACTGCTTCACTTCTGCCTGGTAACCCACAGCTTCCTCTAACCTACAGCAGGCCTGGCCCAGTGGGGCCCAGCAGATCCTGCTCCCCCCCACATGGCAGCAGCTCACGGGAGTGGCCACCCACACATCTGTGCAGCATGCCACCGTGATTCCTGAGACCATGGCGGGTACCCAGCAGTTAGCCGACTGGAGGTAACGTGTGTGCAGACTCCCCGAGCTGGCCCCGACCTGTGTTAACCTGATGTGCTGAGAGATTTCTTAACATTAAATATACATCTGTATACACAGAGGGCTTCAAGACAATGAAGTTTTTCAGTTCCCTACTATGTAATGCTAAGGGGAGTGTAAAAAATATAGAAACAGCAAATGTTTTGTTACATGTTTAAGTTTCAGGCATTTAAATAAACCAATGTTTGGGGTGATGACACAAGGAACTCAGTTTATGACTCTAGTCAAATACCATTTTGGACCCACACTTCAGCTACATCATTGGAGCCACTGTGTCCATCCCCGCAGGGCTCCTCTAAGTGTCTGGTTATTTCATGGAGGTAAATTCCACTTTCAGCAAACAGTGATATCACCAGTGGAAGAGTGAAGACAAGAGTCCCGGGGTCCTCGGCCAATGGGGAAGTGTTCTGGAGGCAGGGCTCCTGGGGTGGGGGCTGACCTCTGGGGAGGGCTCCAGAGAGGATTTGTTGAGAGTGGGATGCTCCAGCGTGCTTCAGACTAGAGGCAGCTTTCCCCAGGCTCCCTTGCTCCGCTGACCACCTGCAGCCGTGTCCTGGACCACCCATCCGTTCCCTGGCTCCTCATGCCCACTCACTCATAACCCCCAGGCAAGTTACACTGGTCCTTATGACCACATGCCCATGCAGAGCCCGGTAGTACCTTGTCCTCATAGCCCACAACTCCCTGGGGCCCTGCAGGCTTCTCACCACAGCTCCCCACAGCCTGTGGCTGGAGCTCACAGGACAAGGTGAAAGGGGCGGGTAAAACCTCCACTGTTGCCCCTCCACTTCCTGTACTTTATTCTGACCAGTACAAAGCAGGTGGCTCAGGGGTAGAATCCTTACCTTCCATGCTGGAGACCTGGCTTCGATTTCCGGCCATTGTACCTCATGCATAATCTGTCAGTGATGGTTTGTGTGATGCTGAACGGGTTTCAGCAGAACTTTCGGACTAAAACAGAGTAGGAAGAAAAGTCTGGCAATCTCCAAAGCATCAGTCCATGAAAGCCCTTTGAGTCACAACAGCCCAGTCTGCATCCAATCACAGTGAAGGTGCAGAACTGTTTAGCGTCTCATTCCACATGGCGTCCTCAGGAGTCGGGGCTGAAGCTGCCAACAACAAGTGGAAAGATGAGCGTACGCAGGGACTGACGTGGCAAAGCAATGGACCACCGCAGTGTCTGGTCCATGTGGCAGTCAGTGGGCCCACTCTGCCCCTTCACATCCATGTGGGCTCCACCCTGCTGAGTTTATTCTCACCCCTTTATCCTAAAGACCACCCATCTTCCAGCAATTTCAGCAACACTAACTGCCCAGACCTGGTTCCTTGCCCCTCCTTCCTTCCTCTTGTCACCATCTCACCCAGTTACCACTGTACAGTCTCTGTGCGTGCGTTTCACATCAGAGGCTGACAAGCCTGGAACCCGAGCTCGACCTGTAGCGAAGGAAGAAGAGCACCGCCCCGAGAGGCTTTTCTCATGTTTCAAAAATCAAAGCAAGCCCTCTGCTCACCTTTCATTTCATTAAGTGTTCAGTGGGCTTTGAAGTCGGTGAATTAATCATCACTTTTAATCATCTTTCCGTAGGTAGGCAAACAAGCCCAGAAGCTCTAGGCAACCCCACTGATGAAAACTTTTGAAACATAACCCAATTTTAGGATGAGGGCTGTCAGCATTTACATCAACAGGTGTCTTGACTGTTACTAATTTTGATTTAATACCAAATGCCGTCCATGCCTAGTCAACCTCAGTTCATCTCGTTGTTCGTTTGGCGAGCATGTGGTTAATTGATCAGCAGCTCAGCTACTGTTTTGTGCTGGCTGCTAAGAGGATGCAGAGGACAGCTAGCATGTCCGAAACACCCAAAATGAGGAGCCCTGCCAACACAGTGGGTTCAGTGCTGGGCTACTAACTGATGCATTGACGGTTCAAACCCACCAAGCTGCTCCGAGGGAGACAAATGAGGCAGTCAGCTTCAGTAAAGATTTTTTATTGTTGTTAAGTGCCATCGAATCAATTCCAACCCATAGCGACCCCGCATAGGGTTTCCGAGGAGTGACTAGTGAGGTTGAACCACTGACCTTGCAGTTCAAACCAACTTTTCAGCCCAGTGCATCAACCCACAGCACTGTGCTAGGACTCCTAGTAAAGATTCACAGCCAGAGAGATCCTCTGGGGCAGTTCTACTCTGCCCTGTAGAAATCACCATGAGTCAAAACGACTGATGTCAGTGGATGGAATAACTCCAACAGCAGATACCCCAGGCTCCAGAATTTGTTTTTCCACATCGACTACATTTTCCTCATTTATAAAGTCAGGTACTAACATCCCCTGGGTGGAATAAAGTAACCTGTGGGAGGCACCTCATAAACTCAAAAAGAAAACATGCCATTGTTCACCATAGTCACCTGTTTGGGGACTTTAAACATTGGAGGGAGGTGGTAAGAGCCTGCCCCCAGAACTGGTGAACCCCGAGTCTGCACACTCTGGCCTTCGTAATGTCAGTCATTGTACCTGTCCCCTCCTTCAGTCATGCTACATCAGATAACCTCTTAACCAGGTTCACCTTGATTAGCTCAGCCACCTCGAGGACCGAGAGATAGCCCACTGCCAGTATTGTGTGTTTTCCAGTCAGCTTTGCACCAGAGAGGGCGGTTTATCTCATAAAGGAGCTAAGCTTGTATGAAACCAATTAGGTGCCTCTTTTCCTATCTCCGTTCTAGGAATACACATGCCCACGGCAGCCACTACAATCCCATCATGCAGCAGCCTGCCTTGCTGACGGGTCACGTGACGCTCCCAGCAGCCCAGCCCTTGAACGTGGGTGTGGCCCACGTGATGCGGCAGCAGCCCACCAGCACCACCTCCTCCCGGAAGAGTAAGCAGCACCAGTCATCAGCGAGGTAGGTGGGGACACGGCCTGGAAGAGAGAAACTGAGAAAGCACCTCATAGGAACACTAGGAAGAAAGGCCTGGTGATCTCCTTCCAAAAGTCAGCCAATGAAAACGTTGTGGCCTGCCACAGGACGTTGTAGGATATATTGGAGGGCACTCAGTGCACGTAGCTGTAATGATGGACTCCAACTCAACAGTCGGCAAGATGGCACAGGACAGGGCAGTGTTTCGGTGTGTTGTACAGAGGGCCACCATGAGTGGAAGGAGGAGTGGAGAACACTTGTGTTCTGGGCCCCAGGTCCTAGGCAGGAAGCAGCTCCCCCAGCAGAAGCTGGTAGGACCTCTTGTGTGAATTCTTATGTGCTGCTATAACCGAAATACCATTCACGGATGACTTTAGCAAGTAGAAATGTATTCTCACGTTTAGGAGAAATGCAAATTCAGGTGCCAGTTCGGGAGAAAGGACCTAGTCTCCTTACAGAACCTGTAGGCTCAGCATTCCCTGGAGCTCCCCATGAGTGTTGGCATCCATCTTTCCCTGGATCTAGAAGCTTCACATGTCCAAAGGGCACACTCCACTCTGGCTCTTCTTTCTTGGTGGGAGTGGGTCCCTCTGAGGATACACTAATGCTGTAGATTGCATTCAGCCTCATTAACATTGTTCTTGTTAAATGGCATCGAGTGGGTTCTGATTCATAGCAACGTTGTATAGCGTTTCTGGGGCTTTTAAAATCTTTACTGGAGCAGAAAGCCTCATCTTTGCCCCACGGAGAAGCTGGTGGGCTTGAACCACTTATCCTATGGAGCCACCTCCACTACCCCATTAACATCATAAAAGTGATGGTTTATAACACATAGGATAATTGCAACCTTGCTAGCCGAAATTAAAGAGTACTTCAAATACTTAGTGATGAAGATCAAAGACCACAGACTTCAATATAAAGAAAACAAAAGTCCTTACCACTGCACCAATAAATAACATCATGATAAATGGAGAAAAGATTGAAGTTGCCAAAGACTTCCTTTTGCCTGAATCAACCATCAAAACTCATGGATGGAAACAGCAGTCAAGAAATCAAACGACGTATTGCATTAGGCAACTCTACTGCACGAGACCTCTTTAACGTATTGAAGAACAAAGATAACAGTTTGAGGACTAAGGTGCACCTGACCCAAACTATGGTATTTTCAGTAACCTCACATGCATGTGACAGTTAGACAGTGAATAAGGAGGACTGTAGAGTTGATGCATTAGACTTACGGTGTTGGAGGACAATATTGAAATTACCACGGGCTGCCAAAAGAACAAACAGATCTGTGTTGGAAGAAGTACAACCAAAATGCTCTTTAGAAGCTAGAATGGACAGACTTCGTCTCTCATGTTGTTGTTGTTGTCAGGTGCCATCGAGTCAGAACCGACTCAGCGACCCCATGCACAGCAGAACGAAACAATGTTCGATCCTGGGCCAACCTCACTACCGCCGCCACACCTGAGTCCATCAATGATGCCACCTGGCTGATCCATCTCGTTGGGGGTCTTCCTCTTTTTCTCTGACCCTCAACCCTACCCAGCATGACATCCTTTTCCAACGATTGTTTCCTCTGGACAATATGTCCAAAGTATGAGAGACGAAGCTTAGCCATCCTGGCCTCCAAGGAGCACTCTGGCTGCACTTCTTCCAAAACAAATCTATTGGTTCTTTTGGCAGTCCATGGCACTTTCAGTATTCTCCTCCAACACCACAACTCAAAGGCATCAATTCTTCTACGATCCTCCTTATTCACTGTCCAGCTTTCACATCCATATGAGGCTATTGAAAACACAATGGCCTGGGTCAGGCGCACCCTAGTCCTCAAGCTGACATCTCTGCTCTTCAGTACTTTAAAAAGTTCCTGTGCAGCACATTTGCCCAGTGCAATACGTCGTCTGATCTCTTGACTGCTACTTCCGCGAGTGTTGATAGTTGATCCAAGAAGAATGAAGTCCTTGACAACTTCAATCTTTTCTCCATTGATAAGAATGTTGTTTATTGGTCCAGTGGTGAGGATTTTTGTTTTCTTGACATTGAGATGTAATCCATATCGAAGGCTGTGCTCTTTAATCTTCATAAGTAAATGTTTCAAGTCCTCTTCACTTTCAGCGATCAAGGTTGTATCATCTGCATATCGCAGGTTGTTAATGAGTCGTCTCTCATACACTGGTCATATTATCAGGAGGGACTAGTCCTTGGAGAAGGACATCATGCTTGGTAAAGTGGAGGGTCAGCAAATAAGAGGAATACCCCTAACAAGGCGCACTGGCAGCTGCAATGGGCTCAGGCTTAGCACCGATTGTGAGGACCGCAGTGAGGACAGGACTGAGCAGCGTTTCATTCTGTTGTGTATAACGTCGCTATGAGTGCCAATTTCACTGCATCTAACAACAGCAGGGTAATGTCATCCGATCAGGGCTGATGACATCATGGGGTGATTATGTCACATTAGATCTCTTCAGGGTGGAAATTGCTGCATCTGACTGCTAACCCACCGAGAGTCCTGGCCTAGCCAAGTTGACACAAAGCCTCCCCTATCACGCTTCTCTCCACAGGGGTGACCCCAGAGTCCTTGAGGTTTTCACTGGGGTGGAGGACTCTCTAGAGACGTTTGTACCAGGGACCAGCAGGACAGGCATGACCCCAGGGAGGCACCAGCCACTTCATAAAGGATGTGTGCCCTGAGGTTGGAGGAATCCTAGAGCTCCCAGCCCCTCCACTTCTCTAGAAAAGTCTCAGACTCACTTCTCATATTTCCCTTCGGAAATCATCTCCTATAATAACTTTCTCAAGGGAGCGTGGAGAAGTGTGCTTCCTGTGAAATCTGAGGTTAGACATTCTGCTCACTTGGCTGCTTGCCAGCATGAGCGTCTCAAGTTAACCAGAGCCCTCAGCGGTAGAGCATCATCTTCCCATCCCCACTAAGTGCATTCCCATCACCGTGAGCCCCTGAAGAGGCAGAATCCATACAAGGCGCTCTGTTCATACGACATTCTGCAGCAGGCAGAACTGCAGGGACAGAAATCCACCTCTCCCAGGGGGCTGAGGTGGGGAAGCAAGGTAGACTAGAGTGTGAGAGGGTTTTCTGGGGTGGAGAAGGTGTTCTACACCTGGGTTGGTGGCGGCAGGATTACCTGATTGTATATTTTACCAGAACTCAAACACTTTAAAAGGGTGAATTTTGCTGTATATAAATGATACGTTGATAAACCCTAGTGGAAGCTTAGCTGCTAACCGAAAGTTCAAACCCACTCACCCTTCGGGAGAAAGATCTGGTGATCTGCTGTCAAAGATGACAGCTCACTCAGCCCTAAGGGACAGTTCTACCCTGTCCTTTAGGATAGTTATGAATTGGAATTGGTCCTGGTGTGACACTGTGGGTTAAAGCACTGGACTGCAAGGTCGGTTTGAACCAAGGGTCAGTAGTTCAAACAAATCAGCTGTTCCTAGGAAACCCTATACAGAGTTGGAACCAACTCAACAGCACTTAACAACTAGCCCAATAAACCTAACTTTAAAAGGAGAGGGAAGCTCTAAACCCAAACAAAGTCATAATCCAGATGTAGAATTACACCCACGCCCTCTCCTTGGTACTAACCTGAAGAAGCTTTATTAGTATATTTGGTAAGTGCTGTCAAGTCGGTTTCAACTCATAGTGACCCTATCTATATAGGATTTCCAAGGAGGGGCTGGTGAGTTTGAACCACCAACCTTGCTCTCCAGTGCTTATCCTCCAGTGTTACACCAGTACGCCGTTGGTAGACTTGGGGAGTGTAATCAAAGAATCCCAGGCTGTAAAAGAGCATTTTTGTGTTCTCAGTTCCTGTCGAAGGAGGCTCCAGGAATTCGGCTGGCTTTTTTCATTCTCGTTCAAAAATTAACTGCTGATTCCCCTCAGGTTAAGTTCAGACATATCTCAGAGATACTGTGGGATCAGTACCAGACCTCCACACTAAAGAGAGACACACACATTTTGGGGTTCACAGAGAATAAGAAATTTATGTTTAGACTGTACAGTCCTCTGTTAAATGCAATGTTGTGTCCCATCAAGTTGGTGCCGACTCATAGCGACCCCATGCACCACAGAAAACTGCCCACCTCACAATTGTTCTTATGTTTGAGCCCATTGCTGCTGCCACTCTGCCAATCCATCTTGTTTGGGGTCTTTCTTTTTTTTCACTGACTCTCCACTTTACCAAGCATGGTGTCCTTCGCCAGGGACCGGTACTTCCTGATAACGTGTCTAAAATATGAGAAATGAAGTCTCACTGTCTTGGCTTCTAAGAAGCACTCTGGCCGTTACTTCTTCCAATACAGATTTGATCATTCTTCTGGCATTCCATGGTATTTTTAATAGCAATTTGTTACTGTTAAGTCTGTCGAGTCCATTCTGACTCAATAGCAACCCTGTAGAAGGTTTCCGAGGAACGGCTGATGGGTTTGAACTGCAACCTGTGGTTAACCTATGGCTTCATAGCAATGTTGTTAGTGTTAAGTGCCATCGAGTCGATTCCAATCCATAGTGACCCTGTATAAGGTTTCCTAGGAGCAGCTGGTGAGCTCGAACCGCCGACCTTTCAGTTCAGATGGCCTTGCAGTCTGGCACATTAACCCACAGCTATTTAATAATAGCAATAGAATTATTAAAAAGTTTGAAGTATCATGTGAATTCACAAAATGTGACACAGGAGGCACCAAGTATGCATATGCCGGTGGAAAAACGGCATTAATAGACGGCAGGATTTCCACAAACGGTTAATTTATATACATACTTTTTTAAAACCACAATATTTATAAAACGCAGTAATATGAGCCACACATGTAGTTCTCCACGCTCCCTTGCGTAGCTGTTTCTGACGACCCAGACCAGTGGCAGCCTCGCATGGTGCTCTGTGTGGCCATGCTGGTACAACTGCCCATGTCAGCGTTGGGCTGTCAGTGAGTCACAGAGGTCAGCATCTTGCCGCTGGTGTGCCATCAAGATGCACAACACAAACACACAGATGCTGATCTGAGCCAAGACCAAGCTTGCGTGCCTCTCCGTGGGTCCCCTATCCGCCCTGCTTCCTTATTAAGTCTCTCCCTGCACCCCATCAGGTTCATGAAGGTCCATTTCAAGATCAAGATAATCATAGTGCGAGTCATGTCTGCACATACTTATAAGACCAATGTATGAGGCCACTCTGAAAGACCAGAAGGTTCTCCCTACTGGGCAGGACAGCCAGGCATAGGAATGCCAAGTGGAGACAGCCACAGGATCCTGGCTACAGTAATGATAGTGTAATCTCAGAATTGTGGTCTCAGAACAATAACAAATTCATGAGTATATTCAGTGCACACAATGTTACCAGTAAAACTTATTACGAGGCTCAAAAAAAAAGAATCTGACACCAGCTAGATAGAAAATTCAAGAAACCCACCTTAACTGTGTTTTCACTCTCCCTGTCATCCTTGGTGGGTTGTGCACTGGACTGCTAACCTCAAGGTTGATTGTTTGAACCCACCAGCTGCTCAGCAGAAGAAAGATGAGGCTGTCTTTTTCCATGAAGATCTATGTCCTCAGAAACCATACGGGCCAGTTCTGCTCTGCCCTTCCCTGCAAGGTCACTATGAGCCAGAATTGACTCCGTGACAGTGGATTTGGTTGGGGGGGAGTTGATCATCCCTGTAGGTTGGAGGTGCTAGAATCTCTAAAGACGTTAACAGGGTCTGAGTTTCATTCTACATTAGCTCTGGTATCTCACTATATAGTTACTACCAGGGTCAGCAAGAGTATGATGGAAAAAGAAAACCTTTTGCCCCCTAAAGTTACCAGAAACAACATGACCCATTTTTTAAGGAGTCTGTCTCTAACCAATCAAAGCCAAGCCCTCTGAAGCATGAGTTTTCCTATTTTTCATTGTGCTCAAGCACTGGTGTGCCACGTTTAGGCTGAGGTGCCCACACCCTGAAAACCCTACTTAATCCACACAGCCCCAGCACTCCAGCCATCAGACCCATTTCTCAGAAAGGAAGCTGAACATCTAGGTGTCCCGGTTGAGAGCCTTTAGATCCAGAAACTGTAAGAAAGAGTGTTTGGATTTAATTAATAGCAAACATCTCTTAGCAAGGAAACCACCGCTTTACGTGGCAAGTAGCCCTCAAAACAAGAGAGAAGTGTGTTGGGGATGGGGGAGGGTGGCTGTCTAAGTGCTAAATCGTGACCAGGCAGAGCTAGGAAGGAGGGCCTGGACCCTGAGGACTAGGGACACCCAGGGCAGACACAGCAGAAGTCCTGGTTGTCACATCTACCTCCAGAAGAGCTCCGTGGTAGAGTTTTCACTTCTCATTAGGGCAACCTCTGGTAGCATAGTGGTTACGAATCGGGCTGCAAACCTTAAGGTCAGCAGTTTGAAACTACCAGCTGTTCCGCAGTAAAAAGATGAAGCGTCTGCTCCCGTAAAGATTTACAGCCTTGGAAACCCCTTGCAGGGTCACTAAGGGTCGGAACCGACTCCACGGTACTTAACAACAACAACAATGAGGGAGACCTGGGTTTGATTCCTGGCCAGTGTACCTTCTGCACTGCCTCTACCCTTTTGTCCATGGAGGCTTGTGTGAACAAGTTTCAGCAGAGCTTCCAACCAAGACTAGGAAGAAAAGCCTGGCAACCTACTTCTGAAAATCAGCCAGTGAAAACGCTACAGATCACAAAGGTCCAGTCTGCAGCTGATCACGGGGCTGGTGTAGGACCAGACAGTGTTTCCTTCCAGTGTGCACAGGGTTGCCAAGAGTCCAGGGCAATTCGAATGTAGCCAGCCACAATAAGGACCACTACTTCCTCCCCTCAGATTCCTGCTGCTCCCTTGTCCTGAGGTGAGCAGGCACCTGGAGCCAAGCAGCTTAGGGAGGACCCTGTCTGAGTAGTCACTGATGGGCCATAAAGCAGCCTCATCTTCAATCACCTCTGTGTCAGCCAGACTCATGAGATGGGGCTGTGAGCTGGTCTCCCTCTAAGTGTCACAACTTTACCGTTCCAGGAATGTGTCCACCTGTGAGGTGTCCTCCTCTCAGACCACCAGCTCCCCACAGCGCTCCAAGCGCGTCAAGGAGAACACGCCGCCGCGCTGTGCCATGGCGCACAGCAGCCCGGCCTGCAGCTCCTCCGTCACCTGCGGCTGGGGAGATGCGGCCTCCAGCAGCACCACGGAACGGCAGCGGCAGACGATTGTCATCCCCGACACCCCCAGCCCCACGGTCAGCGTCATCACCATCAGCAGCGACACAGATGAAGAAGAGGAACAGAAGCATGCCCCCACCAGGTGAGATGGCATGGAGGGGGAGGGAATGTGCAGGTTGTGAGTGATACCACTCCCCCCACACGTGGATCTGGGCCATTGTCCATCCGCAGTCATCCTGATCCCTTACTCTGCTTTTGACACATCTAAAAATGCTGAAGTTACTGCAAGGAGACATTAAGCAGATATATTTCCATAGTTGCTCGTCACGGAAATCATTTCCCATTACCTTGCTTTTTAAAACTAGTGAGAGGGCCTGTGGTGCTGGGACCTGAGACCTTGAGAATCAAACACAAGGATAGTGTGCTTAGAGCACTCTGCCTCCGGCTGTGGACTGGATTCCCAGTGGGTCAGGATGTTCCCCTCTACTGCTGCGGCTCCCACAGAATTGGAAGTAATTGTCCAGGTCATCAGAAACGTCCTGTGTCTGGTGACCCGCCACTCTACCCACCAGTAGGTGCTCCACCGTTTCCTCCAAGGTCGTCATAAATCGCTCCACTCCATGTGGTGGTGTGTGGTGCCTGCTGGGAAAAAGGAGTCTTTGTTGGATCTGCACAAGGAACCCCAGCGGTAGAGCCGGACTGTGGCAAAGTGTGGTGACTACTCAGCTCTGGGGGTTGGGGGGTACCGGCAAATGAGTCCCTGGGAGTAGTCAGCCCCTGGGCCCCACACACTGGGATCTGTAGCTACTGAGGTCTCTCAAGCCCTCACTGTGCCTGCCCCTGCTCTGGGGAGCTGAGGCCCTGGAAGAGGAGGGGAGGGGGCGCCCCCTGAGCCTGGCACTGGCCCCACACATATCCACAACCGTGTGTGTGCACAATGTTCCTGCAGTGTCACTGATTAGTAATCACAGATTCATTTGATTAGCAGTAAATTCATTATAAGAGTACACAAATGGCCAGATGAGGCCATCTGTGCTGGCCATTCCCAGGGGGTACCCTCCCACCTCTAAATCAGGGAGTGGGGTGAAGCCCAAGGCTTCCCATAGCCCTTTGCCACAGCTATAAAACAGCAAAAAGATCATTTAAATACTTTATTATCACCCTGGTGGCACTGTGAGTTAGGCGCTGGGCTACTAACCATAAAGTCGCCAGTTCAAACCCATTGGCCACTCTGCAGAAGAACAATAAAGGTTGCCTGCTCCCGTAAAGAGTCACAATCTTAGAAACCCTATACAGGGCTGCTATGAATCAGAATCAATTCAGCAGCAGTGGGTTTCTTGGATTTCCCCATTAGACTGGAATATTGGTTTTGAAGGATAAAGTTTGAGTGGCTGTAAAGTCCAGGGAGGTTGGTGTGTATCTGAGGAAAAGAAGACAGACAACAGATGGGAGCGAGGTGAAGCAAGTGGCCAGGTAGGTGGGGCACAGCCACAGATTCTGAACACCAGGGCAGTGGGAGCCATTGTTTCCTGATGTGAGAAATGTGGACCGTAGTTAGTATAAACTGCAAACACTCTCAATTCCCACCCAGAGGCCCCTCAGTAGAAAGACTTGGCGATCTATCTTCCAAAAATCAGCCATTGAGACCCCTGTGATGTGCAGTTCTACTCTGACACACATGGGGGTGCCGTGAGTCAGAGTCATCTCCCACGTAGTGGTGGTGAATGCCCAGCCAGACCAGGATGATGGCAGTGTACCAGACACATGAAGCCAAAAGGGGGCGCTGTAGACTCAAACCAGGATGCAATAGATGTGACAGGTGCTCCCAGAAGGAAAAGCCTTAAGTGTGTTTTCTGAAGATATGAAATGACTGTTTCCTTAAAGTTTCAGGTACCCAGGAGACAGGAAAGTGTACTTGAGGCAGAGTTGCATGAAACCGAAACCAGGAGCCATTTTATTTGCTGAGAAATCACTGTGCACTTGAGATGGCATCATTGTGACCATGTTATAGGATGGAAAGAAATTGGGGAAATGAGACTGATTTTGAAAACTCAGCTTATCATAAAATTTATTATTGTTAAGATTGTCAGCCCCATCTGGGTACTAGGAAATGCAGGAGTTACATAAATAAGGTAGACAGTCTCCCTGTACGCAGAAGATTTGCAGAGTAATAAGCAAGACAAGGGACAGACATGTCGTGGTAACACAAAGCCAAGTACCAGCTCCAGAAAAACGAGCCAAGTTCTGTGGGGATTCAAGGAGGAAATTGCTTGAGGAAACAGCAGAGTTTTGTAAGACCAAATGTGTGGGCCGGTGAAAACAAACAGAGGAGAGACTAGGGGTTCAGTTGAGGAAGTTCAGGGGTGGAGTATCAAAGCTGGGCAAAGGAGTTCAGGTGCACAGTGGGGCTCTTAATCAAAGAAAAAGCAGGAGGCAAGAAAGAATGGGGTCACAAGGAAACAGGGGTGATGTGGAAGGCTCCCCTCACATGGGGTGGTCAGCTCTGTTGGGAAGGAAAGTGAGTTCGCTACTTCCAGTCAGTTGGCCAGGTAGATGTCTTCCAGATTGCTTGGCAGAGATGAGTGAGTGTCTCCAGTGTTGCATCAGTTTGTTGAAAGATTTAAATTTGTAATTCCACCAATTCCCAGTGCCTTGTTCTTTGCCAATGACTTCAGTGCACCTTGGACTCTTGCTTCAGCATCATTGGCTCTTGCTCATATGCTTATTTCAACCTCTTGAGATGGTTGAACATCGACCAATTGTTTTTGGTACTGTGACTCTGTGTATTCCTTCCATCTTCTAATGAAGATGGCACAACTAACCAATCCCATCTTTGAGTCCTATATACCTTATTTGCATGGTTCATCCCGATCACTTAATGGGAATTAAGATGTTGTGTACTCCTTGCAGGCTGTCAAGTTACCTGGTGTGCTTTAACAGAAAGACTACAAGTGGTAGGCTTTCAAAAGCAGACATTGATTTTCTCAGTTTGTTGTTGCTCTAAAGTGCCGTCGAGTTGATTCCAACTCATAGCGACCCTGTGTAGGGTTTCCAAGGAATGACTGGTGAACTTGAACTGCCAACCTTGCAGTTCAGACTGGCCTTGTAGTCCAGCACATTAACCCACAGCACCACACCAGGACTCCTCTCACAATTTAGGAGGCTGGAAGTCTGAGATCAGGGGCAGTCTCTCTGTCTTTGTGTGTCTGCTCTGGGGAAAGATCCCTCTTTCTTCCACTTCTTGGCTCCTTGGTGAGCCACAGCTGGCATGGCATCTCCCTTCCTCCATCTCTGCTTGCTTGTTTAATTAATCTCTTTTATGGACTTCTGACCTAGTAGGATCAGCATTGAACTGCAAACCACAAGGTCAGCAGTTCAAACCCACCAGCTGACCCCAGAAACCCTATACAGGGTCACTATGGGTGGGAACTAACTCAGCAGCACTTAGCAACAACATATCTCAAAAGAGATTGACTTAAGACATGATCCATAAGAATCCTGTCTCGTTAATATAACAAAGACAACCCATTCCCAAGTGGTATTTTAACCATTTAGGGATTAGCATTTACAACACATATTTCAGGGGAACAGGTCAGCCCACAGCGCAGGCTCCATTCAGAACAATCTGGTGAGCTAGGAGCATAGCTGAGGGGCTGCATTTTCTGAAGAGCTGCGTTTAGAGGGAGCAGAACTCTGCCCAGTGTCCCCAGCAGCCCGGGGGACATGCCAGCCCATTACTGGGTCACCACTGCTGGATTTCCACCATCTGGGTCTCTTGCTGCCTCTGCCAGGGTTCCTCAGACAGATGGGGGAGGATCTCCCGAGGTCTAGATGCCACCAGTGCTCAGTGAGTGGTCTTACTGAGGTTAGGCAGTTTATCAAACTAGGGAGAGAGGACAGAAACACAAGGAAGGCGAAGGTGAGCCACCATCTGTTGTGACCTCATAGGTTGAAGCCTGGGTACCAACTCAGCCTTCCTCCCAAGTACCCATTTGTCATTCTCTAGAAAATAATCCAAAAATTACCTAAAGGTAGGAGGGTAAGTCAAAAAATACTGCCGCCAGGGTTCCAGTTCTGATACACAAAGGTTTATTCCAAACAAACGTGTTTATAAGTGTCTCAGTGATCAGTACATGGCTATAGACCATTTCTGTCACTTTTACATTGTCTTAACCTTCAAAAAGAGAGCCAGTCAAAACAGACTTTTTTTTTGGTTCCCAAAACTCAAAGAATATTTCAAAAGAACAAGATTTGAGTCCCTTGCAAGCTGCCAAAACTGCCATTTTGATGTGGAGTAAATTACAGAGTGCAGAATTCTTCGGGGAAGGGTTAAAGAGATGGAAACTCCACCTTCAGAAGTGTCTAGACTCAGATGGAGGCTATGCAGAGAAACAATCGCTTCATGTTTTGACATTTGTGTTTAACAAAGGTTTTTGAGTTTCGAGCAGTACTTTTTGCCTTACCCTTGTGTTGGTGTATAAACGCACACATGAATAAATGAGTTGTTGTTGTGAAGTGCCATCGAGTTGGTTCCGACCCATAGCGACCCTGTATAGGGTTTCCAAGGGGCAGCTGGTGAGCTTGAACCACCGACCTTGCAGTTCAAACGACTTTGCAGTCTGGTGCATTAACTCACAGCGCCACACCAGGACTCGGAAGAAATGAGTAGGATGAGGCCTTTCTGTTGGTTGGCACGCTCAGTGCTTGTGGGTGCCTCCGGGAAGTAAGTGGGAGTGGAACGTTGTGATTAGGAACCTCGCCTCTGGGTTCAAATCCTGACTGCCCCTCCCTAAGTGTGTGGGCTTGGGCAAGTAAGTTCATGCTCTTCATGTCTCAATGCCATTGACCTTGATGTGAGAGCAGTAACACTGTCTGCCACATAGTCTTGCTGTGAGAACAGACAAGAGACTACACCGGGAGCACTTTGACCAGCAGTTGGTGTGCAGCCGGTAACCACGTGGGGTTGCCATGAATGAAAATCAACTCAAAGGCAACCAGTTTGGTTTTTGAGCTATGAACAGTGGTTCTCCCCACTGGAACACATTTCTTCACTCCTTAGCAACTTATTTCTGCCTATCACTTTAAAATGGAATTCATATCATTATGCAATGTCTGTGTCAACCCACTCCCAGAAGTGAGGCTCTGCCAAGGCCATTTCAGTGAACAGTTCTCCCACTGCTCTCTCATGTCCATGAGCCAACTTGTCGTTGGATTGATAAGCTATCCATGATAATTAGCATCAACAATGGAATGACTCTCAGGAATACTGATGTCTGCGAGCCTCCGTAGGGACTGCAGAGTGACGCATTAAATACTTCCCACTTCTGTTCTCTGACCAGCAGAAGTCAGTTCAGGTAGAACACAGAGATGTCTAAGAATAGAGATTTTAAAGAGCCATCAGAAGAATTCACCTGTTCCAAACCTGTCCCGTGTAAAGCCAGAAAAACAGGACAATCAGCTAACCGTGTTGGTCCTCCTTGTTCATTAGGGTTAGGGACTTCTTAGCTATGGCAAAGGGTTGGGACCCATGAAGAGCTGAGAGAGGTCTGCCCACACATTCCTTGTTGTTGGGTAACAGGACACAGGCAAACAGGTTCCTCAGCCCTCTTGGGGTGGAGACTCCCTGATTGGGGACTTTCATCCAGGAGGTGGCCTTGAAGTCAGGCCAAGGGGTTAGTCCGCTGGGACGAGATTCTTGTCAGAAAGCTGCCCTCAGTGACCAGAAGCTCATAGTTTATGACGTAGAGTATCTCAGATAGAAAAAGCCTCACTCCATTTCCAGACCAGCCCTGTGATGTGGTTCCTGTCACCATCGATGTCTTCCCAGTGAGGAGACAAAGTCCTTCATTCATAGCCAACCCCTGCTCCTGCTGAAAGCAGTGCAGACAGTGAGGGGCCTCGTCGGCGTCCCCTAGGGGAAATGTCCATCCTAGATGTGACCTGCTAGACAGAACCCAGACAAGATATCCCTCCTCACACCCCCTCAGCCATCAGACCGCTAGTGACCATGAGGCCTGACACTGCCATTCTGTGGAGGCCCCGTGACTGCTGTGTGACCTTGGACAGGACGCATGCAGTGGCTGTGCCTCCAGTAAGCATTCTGTAAATACCTGCTGCTGCTTTTATCTAGGGACTTGGAAAGGAACCATCTGCCCGAGATAGTCAGTAGTTATTAAAAATAAACCATCGATAGACAAAAATACATTACCAAGGCCCATTTTTAGAACCTTACACACAAAGCGTGAATCCCGTTCCATCCTCCCACCAGCCTTGCTGGGTTTAGAGACGGATAGAACAGGCCCCATGTTCTGAGCTATCCCACCCCTGTCTCCCAGCTTCCATGAGCAACCCAGAGGGGGGCGTGCTGGCAGGCTCCCTATCGTATGCTATCGGTATAGAGTGGGGGCCATGACGCAGAGCCGCCCACCAGGCCTGAGTCAGGGCTAGGCCAGGGGTGCACAGCAGAACCGGCAGAGACAGTGGAGGGAAGTTAGCTTCCCAGCCTGGGGATATGCTACACTGCCTCCCTCCTCAGACCTTCCCTCTCCCCTCAGAACCC